GCTCTTTGAAGGGACGTCGCGGATTCCCACGGGCATGAACGATCGCAATGAAGAAGATCTCGGAAAATACGTAAGTTCTCGGTCTTTCCTTCCTCTCTCTCTCTCGCATGCTTATCTTTTGCTTAGACCGACCTCTCGCAATGTTCCTTCCTGGTAGACTCGGAGTTCCCGAGCCGGAAGGCAACCGAGCTGGAGCCAGATTACATCCACGAGGACACACAGTGGGAGCAGCTGGCGTGTCATAGCTTCCTGGACGCTTCCCAGACGGGCCTTCTGGGACGGTTGATCTGGACTCCGGATTTGCCAATCACCCCAGAGCCTCTTCGGCGGAAATGGGGCGAGTACTGTCTGCTGCGGAGACGCGGCGACGTCACAATAACCGCTGCATAGGTTGGCTATGGAAACGTGGGGTTCAAGCTACTGTACATAGATATCTCCCCCGGTTACCCTTGTTCGTAAGGTGGATGCGCGCCTGCAGAAGAGAAGTCATGCTGAAGCCAACGCTCGAATGAGCTTGGCTGGCGGTGTGGTGGCCTTGCCGGATTGGGGAAAGATATCCTCGGGTGATAAGAGGGTTTGCAGGTAATGCAGCGTCAATCAATCCCGCTGGCTGTTATCTCAAACCCACAGCTTCTGGCTGGAGTTCATTCTCGCATCGCATTAACCCTTCTGGCAACCCACCCAGCGCCCTTCTTCATTGGTGCGCTTGCACCTTGCGCATAATCTGCATAGCTGGTTCCATCCTCTCTCTTAACTTCGTCGTATATATCATATATCATATCCCCCGGCATCCCGGGACTATCTCCACCATGGTGGTAGCACAGACGTGTTTCCGACCACCGTGAACCATTCTCAGTCATCATGTTTCCCGAATCGCTTCATTTTGGCCAATCACCCATCTACGATATCGCCCTGATCAGTGCGGTAACCAGTATCGGCGTTTGGCTCATCACCCGAGCGTTCCACTGGTGGACGACAACATCCAAGCCAGACGTCCCCCGATCATCCACCCCAGATCTCGAGAAGAAGTCGGTCGCAGTCACTAGGAAACCGGGAGGTGAGCTACCTCCAGCAACCCCCATAGACAGGTCCATGTAACTGACGCCAGTAATGTAGAATGGATCCCATCGGATTTTAAACGGCCGCCAGCATCACCGTATCCCGACTGGGATGTACACACGACCAAGCCCATTCCCTATCGACCATTTCGATATGGACCGTAAGTGATCCGCCAAGTGCACATCTACAGCCAGCAATCAATCTGACCATCCACAGCAAGTACTTCGTCACGATGGGCCTGCGCAGCATGAAATGGGACGAATGGATTGGTGAGACCCATCCCCAATCCCACCACTTACACCTTCACATACTAACCATCTCACTAGAACTCGACAACCACTACCTCAAATACCACGCCGACAAGGCCCGTCGCATCGCAGAACGCGGCGACAAATGCTGCAAAACCGCCCCGGAAGCATGGGACGCAGCCATCGAGCTCCTCGAAGAGCTAACCTCCTACCTCCCCGAACGCTACCCAACCATGTTCCAAAGAACCCCAACCGGCCTAACCAACCTCATCACGCACGAAACCTTCAACATAACCCAACGCCCCCTCCCCGAAGACCCCATGACCATCGCCGCACGTCTCATCCAAGACGACATCGCCATCATGATCGAACGACCCGACGGCGAATACTACCTCCTAGCGGGCGCCATCCTCCTCGCCGGATTCTGGCGCCTCTCCGACAAATACGGCATGCGACTCTCCGAAATCCACACCTCGGGCTCCGTCCCGCAATACACGGAGAAACTCGAAAAGGGCATGATGAATTTCTTCCGGCGCTTGAAACCAGAAGACCCTGTTCTCCGGAACAACTACTTCATCCAGGTCGATGACAGCTTGCCCTGGTCGCATAGTATCGGGTCCGAGGACGCGGAGGAAGTATCGTGGAGCACGGCGCAGAAGAACAAGGCCATTGAGAATCACTGGTTTCGGTCTGAGAGGCAGAGTCTACGACGGTTGCCGAAGTCAGGAGGCGTGGTGTTTACGATAAGGACGTATTTTGAACCCATTACGCGGATTGTGGAGGAAGAGTATGTTCCGGGCAGGTTGGCTTCTGCGGTGAGGAGTTGGGGGGATGATGTCGCGGTTTATAAGGGTAGGGAGAGGTATGGGGATGTGTTGTTGGAGTTCTTGGATAGGAAGCATCGGGAACAGATCGATAGGGGGTTGAGGGTTGAGTTGGAGGATGAGGTGAGGAAGTATCCTCTTTGAAGGTTGATTGCTGTCTGTGTTTTTTGTTCTTGTCGATATCCTTGATATACTTACTATCCATGAGAATATGAACATTTATTCAATCTTCATTAGCATTGTCTCTAAGACTGTTTATATAAGGTAGTTATACGTAGTAGTATATCATAGCACCAACACCATCCCTCTTTTTTCTATTCCCCAATTCATAACGCCAACCAACCAACCAACCAACAGCCCTAATAATCACACACACATATAGTACTAGTAGTATATACTAATCAAACACCAACCTCCACGCCCCCCTCAACCTTACTCTTCCTCCCCATCCTCCTATTCGCAAACAACCACTCCCTCTCCCTCCTCCACTCACAATCATCCTTGAAATCACAAATCCGACACTTCCACGCCTCCATAACCTCCACGCCGCGCGGGTCCCTCTCCCCGCGCCACCAATGCATCTGATCCGCCACATACGACGACATGGACGTCGGATCGAACAGGAACGACCTACTCCCGAGCACCCGGGGCGATTGGAGATCCGCACTCGGCTTCGAGGAGATATATCGTGCCGTAAGTATTGGAGAGAGGATGGTGGGGTAGGGGTCTAGACTGCGGGGTTGGAATTCGGAGGGGATGGAGGGGGAGGCTGTTGGCGGGGAGGGGAGGAAGGTGAGCCGGAGGTGGGACTTCATGAGGGTCCAGAGAGTGGTGAGGGTGTTGTGGGTGGAGAGGATGGTGGTGGAGTCTTCGCTGGAGGATTGAGAGGAGTGTGATTCGGGTTGGGATTGGGAAGAGGGGAGGTGACGCTGGGGATGCTCGATGGCGTCTTGTGGGGTGGGGATATAGTCGGGGTCGAATTCTTGGGAGGACATGGCGTCGAAGAATTGGTCGTTCAGACCGCCGACTTCGTTGATGAAGGCGTCGGTGAAGGGGCGGTTAGGGTCCAGGTTGTAACGCGAGGCGAGGAGGTCGATGGTTACGTCGTCGCTGAGGACGAGGCGGTTGAGCATGTGGTAGTAGAGTTGGAGTTGAAGGAGAGTAGGTCGGAATGAGGAGCTCTTGACGGTTGGGACGGAGCCGCTGCCGCGTGTCTTGACGTCGGTGAGGTAGATCCGTGGCTGGTGGGGGAAGTTATCGGTTTCCTGGCTGCTGCTGGCCATGTTCATGTCCATGTCCATATCGGAGCCCTCTGCCTTCGCGGGTGTATCATCCTGCCCATATACCTCAGACAGAAGCCTCCCGCCGCCCGTCGGGGAGAGCAAGTAATCCGACAACGACATCTGATATTCAGGCAAGATAGCCCTCGACGCCTCAACATCAGCATAATACGTCGCAGCGGTAGCCTCCAGCTCCGGATCAGGACAATCATAAGAAAGCTGATCAATCACGCCCGTAACCAGCTCACCATCCACCAATCCCCAGACCTCCAACTCCCGAGTAATCCCAAACTCCCGCAGCATGCGCAGACCCTGGATGATATTCCAAATCCGCAAGGCCAGCGCATCCTCCTTAGTAGTGATATCCACGGGCACCGTGGTGTAGATCTCATCCTCAAGCGTCTTGTGGATTTTACTTCCCAGCTTCATCGCCGCTGTCCTCGGCTTGCGCCCAAACTTGGTCAGCGTATACCAATACTGTAGCTCACACCACGCCGGCGAGATCAGATCCGTGACTGAAAAGGCTTTCATCGGAGGCCGTCGGAACCTTTCCACAGGTGACCTTGTATCCACCTCAGTATTTTCATTATTTTTGTTGCTGCTGCTGTTGTTATTCTCCCTCTCTATCCGTTCCTGATGACGAGCTGCCTCGCGTTCACGTTCTCTTTCGCGCCCTTCTGTCGAATTCGGATGCTCCACTAAACGCTTCGAGGGAAGTTCCACCGTCAGCCACCACCCTGTCCCAATCTCCTCACCACGAATAAAACAGTAAACATGAATAAGAGAGAAAGGGCAACTACTAACCAGACGCGGTACGACCGTAGTAGCCTGGAATCGCCGCTGATCTTGCGCCAGCGCTGCCGCCACCCGGCCGATTCGTCCAATTCCGCTGCGGCCATGTAGGCTTCTCGCGCCCCAGGACCTTAGGTACACGGCTGCTTGAGGGATCCGCATACTGGTCTTCGATGTCTCGAACGACAGGTGCGACCTGAGATGAAGGTTCCGCGTTTGCTTGTTCTTCTTCTGCTGGGGGAGGAGTCGCGTGGCGATCCGGGGCGATCTTGGCGAGCAGGTCGGTCAGCAGCGCGTCTTCTTCCGGGGAGAAATCGGAGCCGTAGTCTGAGGTGCTGCTGCTGTCGTCGCTGTCATTGAAGACGCCGGGAATTACAGAAGATGTTGCTAGTGGAGGGCAGGACATGCCTGCAATGCGAAGGAGGGAATCATGCCGCGTGTGGTGGGAGATGGTGGCATCGAGAAGGAAGAGTCGCGACGAGATCCAAAGTTCGGGTCTGGGCGCTCGGGTCCTCTCACGTCATATGATTATGATGATCAGGCCATGATTGTTTTAATATAATGTATTCTTTCTTCTCTTATTGTTATTGTCATGTCTCAATTGTTAACGAGGGTATCTCTGCTAATGATCTCTATTTCATGTCTATCTATGTACTGCTCACTCTTCTAAACAAGTTGCCGGCTAATCCATAACCGAGGGAGTCTATATCTATATCCAAACCAAATCCGCCAATACATCGCAGGGATATCAAGAGTTGAAATGAACCACACAAAGGAAAACAAAGAATGAATGGCAATTACGCCTTCATAGCCACCGCGCCAACACCAGCAGCCACCTCCACCGACGCCGTCCTCTCTGCCTCGACCTTGCGCGCCGCCTTCTGATTCAACCAACTCAAATACGTCTGCCACCCAACAGCAATGACACCAGAAAAGATACTCCGGAACTGAGGCCCCACATACATGAAGCTGAAGGCCGTAACGGCCGGCCACAGCTTCACACTGTTCGAGATACTCGTCGGCAAAGCGACCTTGAGCCGCTCAAAGGTCTCCTCCAACGACTTGCCCGTCATCAACGACTGCAGACCGAAGAAATAGGTATTGAACACGGGAGTGAACACTGCCTGCTGCACGCAGACCTTGGTCAGGATGGAGAGAAATTTGGACGAGTAGTTGAAGTTGTGGTGCAGGAACATGAACCTAATTCCGCCTCTGAATTAGCCATCATCGCATAGCAATCCCCACCATATAACTACTGCGACACTCACCATTTATACGTCGGAATCGCACACCCCACTCCCACCGTCAAATGCCGCACCGTCCGCCACGGATCATACCCTCCTCCAACTACTCCTCCGGCATTACTTCCTGCTTCCTCCTTCTGATCTCCCGTCTGCTCCTCCCGGGATGAACCATTATCCGGCGGAAACAACAACTGCGCACCCAGATCACCACACAGATACACCACAATCGTACTGATCACTTGCGTCCGGTATGGTCGTCTCTCCTGCACGCGCGCATACGCTCGCGCCACTCGTCCAACCGGGCCAGCCTGGATTCTCTGGATGAATGCTCGCGATGCGGATACCGATCCGGGGGCCGGGGCGGTGGTCGATGCGAGCGGGCCAGGCACTGTGGGAGCCGGCTGTGGGTTGTTCGCTGGAGGATGGGGTTTCTCAGGAACGGAGCTGTGGTGAGGTTCTGCGTTTCGAGGGGTCGAGGAGAGGTTTCTTCGTGGTGGTTGGCGTCGGAGGGACCGAAGTGGTTGTATTCGGCGGATGAGGATGTGGTGGTTGTTCATTTTGGTGGGTGTTGATGTCGCTAGGGAGGAGGTAAATGATATATATAGAGTGTTACGATATGGGCGAATATGTTTAGAAGGGAGGGAGTGTTTGGGAGAAGTTGGGATTGCGAAGAAAAGGCGACTTGTGGATTGTCCTGCTGACGGACTTTCCCCCCAGGGAGAATAAGTTAATGACTCGACGGGCGCAAGGCGATAAGTAAATAGTTAGTCCGGAAGCAGAACAGCCACGTCTTTGCTGCGTTAGCCACCAGCCAGCGAGAAGCCCGATGAGATGTATCACTTATAAAGTAAATTCAGGCAGACATGGAAAATAATAGGAAGAAGTAACAGATTGACGAAATCTAACACTGCCCTGGAGAAAAAAGTTTCAAAGGCTATCAGGGTCGGCAGCGCATAAGCCCGCGGTAGCCGAGGATCGGGGAGAGATTATCTCCCTCCGATCGGTCGGAGATAGCGATCGTCCCGGAGTCACTTATCCGGGGAGGCTTAAACTTTTGTTGACTACTACATAGTTGCTGACAGGCTTATAATAGAACAATGAGTCATAGAATATATATTGCAATTATCTCATTATATCACTGGTAGGGCTGCATTGCCCCCTATGCGTTCAATAAAAAAAATTCACCGCCATCTATCATGCTAATGCGAACTGAAATGCCAAAGCAAACATCAAACTGGGTATATCACCATGCAAGTCATCTAACAATTCACAGACTTTTTCTTCTTGCCATCATTCGCATCTCGTGTTGACAGTCCACAAATATGTGGATTTGTCGAGGGTGTAGGTGTGGAGGAGAGTGTAATAAGTACTAAAGATTATTCACAAGGTCGGTAGTAAATGTATGGTTGAGTCGGGTCCCGCAGATGGAGACTAGACTCATTGCTTGAATGACTCGCGGGTGTGCACCCGGTCGATATCATAGGGGTTGCCCTCGTAGAGCGACTGCTTCGCTGTCCGAACCGAAGCCTTGCTCTGAGTGCGGTGGGCCTCAGGCATGTGTGCTTCGGTGCTAGAGTCGGAGTCGTCAGCCTCTACCCCAGGAGCAGGGGCCTCAGTACGGTCGAATTTCTCTTCCGCCATAACTTCCTCCTCCGGATCGGGCTTCTTCGCGAGCTGCTCCAACATCTTGCGCATGAAGGCGTCGGACTCGGCAGCGTACTTGCAACGAGTGCGGATAGCAGGGCCGTACTTGTAGAAGAGGAAGGGAAACGGCACACAGGCAAGGGCCAAGAAAGCCGGGACACAGGTGGCCCAGTGGATACCGAGGTTCTCGTACATGTAGGTGGTGAACAGGGGGAACACAGCGCCGAAGATGGACCGCATGACTGAGTTGGCCGCCAGGACGGACGCGGCAAAGATCGTGTACGTGTCAATGAGGTAAGACAGGTTGCTCAGGAACACCAAAACCAGACCAAACCCGAATGGAGCACCGGCAGCGATACTGGCCATCCAGTGAACGGACGGAGCGTCAGTCCATGCGAACCAGAAGAGACCGATCGGGACAGCAATAGAGGCCACCATGCAGGGGGGTAGACGGGCCTCCGGGGGCGCAAAACCACCGTGCGCCTCCTGTGCCCGGACATAGCGCTTGTTATCCCAGATGTTGTAGGCGACAGCAGCAAGCATGCCAACCATGATGCCCAAGAAAGGCAGACTGCCAACTCCCTGGTTCCAGCCACGGTACTCCTGGAAGACAATGGGGTAGGCATCAAACAACATGTACAGGGTACCGTAGACAATGGCAATGTAAAGAGACAACAGGAACACAATTGGTTCACGGAACAACAAGATCCAAGGACGGGACAGGGCGGTTTTGAATGCTTGTTTGATTGTCGTCTTGCCCTGGTCAATGTCCAGCTTGCTCCGGTACACCTTACCAGTGAGCTGGCTCAGTCTCTCAGCGCGGCGACGAAGAAGCACAGGCGCATAAGTCTCAGGAACGGTGAGAGAACCAATAATCCAGACGAATCCAGAGAAGGCACCGAGAAAGCCCATCACCCATCTCCATCCCGCATTCATTCCCAGGAATCCGCCAATGATGGGGCCAAGAACGGGACCTATAGTGCTTATGTTAGCTGCGGGCGATGAGAGTTGAGAGATCAGGAATGGAGCCTACCGAGGAAAGGCGCCGCAGCAAACAGACTCGTGGCAATACCACGGTCCTTGGCAGCAAACATATCGGCAATAACACCACCTGCATTGGTCATGGGAGACGACCCAAAGGAACCAGCGAAGAAGCGGAGAATGATCATGGTCCATGTGTTTTGCGAGCCGGCACTGCCTGCGCTGAAGGCAGTAAGAGCCATGTACGTAAAGAAGAAGATGATTTGCCGGCCAAACATCTCACTAAGAGGGGCCCATAGCAAGGGGCCTAATTACTTGTTAGCTGTATGTGGAGGGCTGCACAGGTATATGAAAGACATACCAACTGCGAAACCGAGGACGAAGAGGGAGACACCAAGCGTTGCAACTTCTGTGCCAATTCCAAATTGTTCTTCAATCTCAAGGACACCACCAGTGTATCCAGACGAGACCAGGGCAACAGCCAGGGTTGCGAGGGCCATCACCATAGTGAAAGACCATTTCTTGGCCGCGCTGAACTGCATCGGATTGCGAGGATCGTTGGGAAGCCATGTTACCGCATAGGGATCCTCATCCGTGCCAGAGCCAGGATAGTGGTGGTCGATGATCTCCTGGGTTACCACACCCTGGTCGGTGAGTAGACGCCAGAACGGGATGGTGCGACTTTCAGGCGCCTCAATTACTGAGGGCCCGCTATCCCCCTTCTCGGTTGCCATATGGGAGGGCCGAAGTTTGCTTGCGATATGCGGGGGGATGAGTACGAGTGATGGTGAAATGGTTGCGGTGTTTAGTAAACAAGCGGGAGAGCCGAGGTGTAATTGGACGTCGAGAAATGTATCGTAATAAGATGCTGGTCTGGATGTAGTAGGGGGATGATCTCAACGGCCGAAGACGTCAGATCAAGATAACCAGGCTGATCACTACCCTAAAACAAGGCTGCAAAAGTCTCCTCCGTAGGGGTTATCGAGGATGGACCCCTGGTTATATATACAAATCAAACGGGGTCCACGAAATTTCTGTTTCCTTCCCACCCCCATCGAGCGCCAAGCGGCGTCACTTACGACTAATCGTTTGCATTTAGCCTCGGGATCAGCACCGGTTTCAATCAGGGCGGACGGAGACGAGGTGCGCAAAAGGCCCTTCGACCCAGGGAAGCACAGCCCACCCGAGACGGAAAAGGGGCCATGCAGCCGATGTCTGCATATTAGACCGGACTTATGCACCGCATTAGCTCGAGGTGGAGGCCGTGTTGAAGGCTTCGAGAGTGATCGGGCTCGGCTGAGGTGGACCGAACCAGCCCAGGCGGCTAAGGATCCATGGGCGAATCTGCGGACCTCGTGGCAGGAGGAGTCATTCGGGATAATTTCTTTCGCAATTTCGTTTCTCGATTAGTTCAGGTCCGATAGTGGGGCGTCACCACCGTTGGGTAGGAAGTTTCTCGAGCTGTCTTTTGTCGAGGGGCGAAACTTACCGAGGTCCAGAGAGATAAACGATATCGCGAAAGACACCTTCTAGACTCCCTGTTTCCAGGCCACGTAACATGACATGCTTGCTGCGAAGAGGACTGATAGCTACGGGCTTATGCCCGAGTGTAGGTCAGATTGAGTTCCGGTAAAAACTGCCGAGCAAGAGTTGTTCAGAGTTGACAAGGAAAGCCCATTGTTGGAGCTGCAAAGATGCCGATCACCAAGATTAGTGGCGGTTGATTTCTGTCTTCAAGTCTCTGTCTGTTCTCACCGCCCACACAAACAAACAAAAAGTTGATAAGCAAAGATTTTATGCACAGTCGCATATTGGCCTTTTTGTGGTTAGTGTGGCTTCTAGAAGGCAGATGATCCATGGATCACTAAGCCTGCTCGGGCCTAGTGGACCACTGCCTGTCTAAATTGGAAGGCGGGCAGGTCCAGCTGGCGGAGGGATTCCGACGGCATAATTCCAGCGATGCAGCAGTCATCTGCACAGCGTCAACGCATCCGCTCGTTTGGGTGATATGTCCGACGTCGTCTGATCCCAGGGTCATTCGTGGACCGTGTGACTGTCTGAGTGTGTGACAAGGCTAGGCACCAGCTAGTCTGCCGGTCAACATTAATTAGTGTCCTACTTATCGTAGTGCTGATATTGACTCCTGAGACAGGAGTCATAACAAATCCTTGCTAACAAGGAGTTGACCGTTTCAAACTTGCATAGCTTTTCCATCGTTATACATGGGAGGGCTGACACGATTCACCGCATTATCTGAAAACTAAGTTCATATTGCTGATCACTCAATCAAGATTCATATCAAGAAGTCTGCCGAGGTTGCGATCTGTCGGTCATTCCGTTGACCCACTCCCTTAAGGTTTGCTTTGAGGAGCTGATGAATCTTGTCTCACGCAATGCGAGTCATTCAGTAATGATTACTAATGCCTGGCATAAATGGTAAAAGAGACCGATGAACTACGGAGAACAACTAATTCGAAGTCATGGGCCGTATGCACGAACCGCATCAGCCCCAAAGGCACCTGCATGTTGGTCATAAGAGTACGTGATATGGATGAACCTGCGACAGGTATCGGTTGCTCTGATATTGGGTTGCCATTGATCGATATTTGATCCTCCATTCTCGTGCGATGGATCACGAGGTGGGACATGGCGACAATTCCGACAACAGGCTAAATCAGGCTCCGATCGCGCACATCGTGTGTGATTGTGATGTATCAAACTTCGGGCACTCGCGCTTGCAATCTATTCATGCTGTGGTCTTGTTGCTTTTTCAGGCAGCCTGGTCACAGACACGGTCTGTGCTCCGAATGAAACTCCGGCCCCCGTCTCTCTCTGCAGCATGTATCTACCTCGTACTTCTTTTGTTGGGCCTATCGTAGAAATTATCGGGTATCTGCATCGCTTGTTGGGCCAGCGGAGATGCAATATCCTGGGTAGCACGATATTATTGGCTTTGAGAGATGAAGTTACTTTAGTTGTAATGCGATCACTAGCCTAGCGCGATTTCAAGGTTTGGATTATCCGATTGCGCGTCGGTCGTAGCCGGTGATATCTCGATACGGGGAGTTTTCGTGCTGCTCAGCTGAAGAGTTTGATCGATCGGCTAAATTCAAGTCACCGCAATTTGACCATGAATCATGGCAACAATAATAATGTTGATCCGACTGGACATGTCGATCATCGAAGTCAGACTGAAATCATCACCCAGGCCACCCTGAACCGTCACTTTATTGCGAGTGGAGGTTGGGGATTCTGGGCACATTTATATCTGGTCCTGACTCGGAGTCTCAGCATGTTCCGAAGACAAGGATTGCCGCGATATCGATCTAGCATTGAACATGCTGATTTACCTACACATAGGCATGGTGTGTGAGTAACAATCAAGCAGCTAACTTGGCTCATTGCGCAGAAAAGAGAAACGCACCTAAATTACCAATGTGCTGTATTTCCAGGATTATGCTGTGATTTCCCCCACAGACAATACTCGTGGTCAGATAATCAATGTTGGCGTCGACCAAGAAGAGTGCTGCTGGATAAGCAGCGTGCCTCACGCAAGGGGAATATTACCCCGGACCGGCACAACTCAGTATGTGCGGCATGGCAGGTTTCTCCAAGATCCTATCTATGCCTGAGGCGATACTAATCAGACAGGTTAAGTGACATCTATGTAGTTTTTTATTAAAGGGTAAATAAAAAAAAATTAAAAAAAAAAAAATAGATAAATAAAAAAATAAAAAAAAAATAAAAAATAAAAGTCAGTCTCTTTGGTATCGTTAGTAGTACTGTAGTGATCTGATGCCGGTTGTATATACTTTCGCGACGGGCCCGACAAGAGTATAGTAGTAGCGATTAGTGCGATTCATGACTCGGCGCTACTATGTAATGAGCTTTCACTGATCCTTAGGGAGGAGATGATGGTACTAGCAATTTTCTCCCCTTTCCAAAATGCCCTTATCGCCAATTTTCATAAATCCCTCTAGGAATTGCCATACATAAACACGCTACTATCGTGCTACCGCCAACCTGCCTATGATGATGTTCCGCTCAAGTCTGTCCCCGCCGCCCCGCCCGATATGCGTCCGAGCAAACGTCATGGTCTTCTGTGCAGAACTACTACTACATATACGCAGACTACTAATCGTATCCTAGAAAATGGAGTGAGGGATACAGTATCATCAAAATCCTAATGGACACTCTTGTATCGTCGAGATAAAGAAGTTTTTCCTATTCCCTCTACGAAGGCACATACACTGACCACTTACTAGACTGACAAGATACTCTGATAACGACCGCGTCGACCACACCAAGCATCCAGTACTCTCCAACAACTCGAATTCATCCAACACCATCATTTAATTCAATCCTCAACCTCAGCATTGCCCATCTCATCACAGTAGTTTCTCTCCCATGGTACCAAAATCAATTATACAGGATAGCCAGTCAACGAATCTGCAGATAAACGGGATGCTGCGACCCGGCGGCCCGGAGTCAACCTACCTGTCCTCGAGCCTTCCAATTATATTCTCCGATGATGATCACTGTTCGCCTGAAGCTTCAGCAAGCACATCATTGATCACACGTATATAAATAACCTTTTGCATATTATTCGCATAGCTGCCGTTCAAATATTTCCGTGGCTATCGTCGCGCTGTATAGGAAGGGATACTGGTATTGGCGAGGTACTACTGCAGTGGTCGTCGCTTCCCGGCAGGATTCGGTGATTGTGGTGGCAAATTGGCGATTCTTGCCCGCTTGTTAAGCGCCCCAGCGTAATGAAGAATATTCGAGAGAATATACCGGATATACTTTCAATAATAGTTTGCCATTGATAGGGATCAATTCTTCTGCTCTATAAGGTGCGGGCTCGGACGTAGGAAACGATACTTTGGTCTAGCAATGCAAAGACTACGGAGTCCTCCGTAACTATTTCCTAGAGATACGCCATCGTTGAGCCAACTGAAAAGAGGAAACCTACATATTCGCTGCAAGACAGCTGCACATACCCGTTATTACTCCTTGACTTGCGAACCATCTCTCAGTCCTTTCAAGTCCTGAACAGGGATTGTCATCTGCGGCGCCTAATGTAGGCCGCCTCCCACCCACTACCCATTCTACTCTGGAGCAACTTGGAATAGACGCGAAACGTCCGCATCGCGATGATATGTAAGATACCAGTTTTTCATCTAGATGTATGGATCATTATCCTTCAAGCTAGTACACATAAACTATCGCCATAACACTGATATGTCGTGTTGCGATTTGCTGCTAAAATCATCCACTCGATACCCCTACCTCTAACCCAGAGACACCCGCTGACCCCCTTACTGTGGCGAACCGGTAAGTCGCAGGCAGATTCGGTTGTGAACCAAATAATGCCACAAATCACCCGCTGTTCTTGCTGTCGTCATCCAATTTTGACTCGGTAAGTTGCAGTTAGCCCTGGGACTTTATGGTCAAATGATGATTGGGGAACCTTCATTGCATTGCAACATTATGATAAGGAGTGTACGGAAACGGTGGTAAGAATCGAAGCATCGAACGCCAACGTTACATTGCTGGAAATATCACACGGTCGCACATTCAGACACTTATCATTATGTAGAAAGAAAGAACGCAAGCCCAGCAAGTCACTAGTGCCTCCTGCTAACTACTAAGTACATCTTCAAGTCCATCAACCCTGCAGCGTAGATCTGCCGTAGTACTGTAGCCGACCGGGGGGGTAGTTAGTGTACGGCCACCCACAGCAGGCTGCACTAGGCTGCGACCGTGCCACTATGCTACGCGTTCTACAAGAGTACAACATCGCGATCTCAAACCGGGTTGGATTGTTTCATAGATACTGCATTTCGCGTCTATGCCATCCGGTGGCGCTCCCGAAGGAAGTCACGTCGAATAAAAGCTTTCTTTAATGTACATATTCGGATGCGTCCCCATGATCAATTCCACCCAGCCGCTGAATCGGCAGCTACTATTTATTGCGCAGCAAGAAATAACGAAAACCCAGTGCCGAAACCCATTGAAATTCGCAAACCCATCATGTATCGCCAGTAGTCATGAAAATTAAAGAAAAAGAAACCCCGTTATCGCCTTCCCAACCAGAAAAAAGAACCGACTCATTAGAAGTAAATCTAAGAGCGCTCACCACGGAGACGGCGGGCAAGCTGGATGTCCTTGGACTGGATGGTGACACGCTTGGCGTGGATGGCGCACAGGTTGGTGTCCTCAAAGAGGGAGACGAGGTAAGCCTCGACGGACTCCTGAAGAGCACCGATGGCGGAAGACTGGAAGCGGAGGTCCGACTTGAAGTCCTGAGCAATTTCACGAACAAGACGCTGGAAGGGCAGCTTGCGGATCAGGAGCTCAGTGCTCTTCTGGTAACGACGGATTTCACGCAGAGCGACGGTACCTTTGGTAGACTGTTAGTTGACTGTTCAACTAGACACTTTGCCACTTTGGGATGATGAATGTATACATACCGGGCTTGTAGCGGTGAGGCTTCTTGACACCTCCGGTGGAGGGAGCGGCCTTACGGGCAGCCTTGGAGGCGAGCTGCTTACGGGGAGCCTTGCCACCAGTGGACTTACCTATATTGAGATGATAGTTAGTGATAATGTTCCTCAGGTGAGACACGGGTGTCGCGACCATGACGCGGTCAAGCGACACGAAGAGAAAGGACAGTGAGGTTGCACTTACGGGCAGTCTGCTTAGTGCGGGCCATCTTAGTGGATTAAGTTTGATGGATTTAGTTGTTTTAGAGATGGAAAGATGACGTTGAGGATGGAAGATTGATGAAGGTTGATAGATAAGGGTGGACGGGATGAGGAGATGGAAGAAGGATGGAGGAGGCGGGTGGGGAGAGGTATTTGTAGTAAGCGAAAGGGTGGGTGGTGATCTGGGTTTGCCAGCAAAGGGAGGGGGCCTTAGCGTGCCGTTCCTTTGATCGAAAAAGTGTTCGGAAAGCAGCACACCATAAGCCGTGATTTCGGGACTCACTTTTCGCTGGGAAAATCAAAAGTGCCCAAAGGCGGTCAGTTCCCCGTTCTGCCTGCTCGGAGCGCTAAGCGAGCGCCCTAGTGTCCGCCAGCCAATAGGAAGCCAGGATCACGGATCTAGAAGCTGCCCCTGCCTCACCTTGATCCCAACCTCAGGCCCGGAATGTGATCCTATCAACCTGTTGGAGAGGCTCATGGCCATCGACAGGAATGTCCCTGACACTCTCTGACTGCTGATCTAGGTGGTTGGGAGCATTCCCATGGGAATCAGTCTCATCCCAGCGGAATCATCCCTGCCCGGTCACGTTGCCGCCAGATCAGTCCGCTGGCCGGGATCCTGAGCTCTGATTGGTCGATCCGCCCTCTAGCGTGTGATTCCAACGCCCTCCCCGCGGCGCGCCTTCTGCTATACAAATATCTCCCGTCCCATGGATGCTCTCTGCCCTCTTCCTTTTACATCCATCTCACTCTAAAACGCTTAACTATCTCCACCATCTTCACCCTCAACTCTAATTCAACTTTATTTCCGTTTACTTTTTAGACAACCTTCACAATGACTGGCCGTAAGTTCATCACTTCTCATGGTCTATCTATCTCTATCTCGATAGATCGTCCATTGTCTATTCCGCAACCAACAGTGACTGACTTGACGTGTCTCTACAGGTGGAAAGGGTGGAAAGGGTCTCGGCAAGGGTGGCGCCAAGCGTCACCGCAAGATCTTGCGTGACAACATCCAGGGTATCACCAAGCCCGCTATCCGTCGTCTCGCTCGTCGTGGTGGTGTCAAGCGTATCTCTGCCATGATCTACGAGGAGACCCGTGGTGTCCTCAAGACCTTCCTTGAGGGTGTCATCCGTGATGCCGTCACCTACACTGAGCACGCCAAGCGCAAGACCGTCACCTCCCTCGACGTCGTCTACGCTCTTAAGAGACAGGGCCGTAAGTACTATCTGTTCTGGCTTGGTTATGTCCAACGCGTCTAACATACATCCCTTCAGGTACCCTCTACGGTTTCGGTGGTTAAACGCCTTTTCTATTTTCCTGCTTGTTTCTTTTTAGCCATCCTGCGCGGTCGGCGCGTCAGTTGTCCTTCCGCAGCAGTGACGCGACGGGTTGCTTTTTCGGGTTGGTTCATGGTATGACTGGGACGTTGGGGTGTTCTTGATCTTTTTATTACAAGTATCATGGGTCTGGGTTTGCTTTGTCGTATTTTATTTACTATTACACGCGTCCACTACTGGTCTGCTGGTGGTCGTGGTTGAATTTCTGTATCATAGCGGCCTTTTACGCTTCGGCTGGTGCCATAGGCTAAAGAGGATCGTGCGACCTTGACGCGATCCGATATGAATACAAACGGTCGAAAATGATCACATCTTTCCATTGTGTATTTGTAGCTTCCTCGTGGTATGAGCATCGTATCTTGTATATGTTGAGGCTCGCGTGTCCTTCGTACCCGAGCAAGGCTGTTGTGTTGGGGAAATTGGACAGTTCATACGATGTCTATCATACGAGAGCATCAATGGTAGTAGGAATTGCAGTTTCCTTTCTATAGTCTACAGCACTTCAATCAATACCATGTTAACTTGTGCAATTCGCTTGTTGTGTATGGTGGGCGACGCGCTACGCGTTCTCCGGTGGTTCCGCTGTTGCTTGGTGCCTGAGGCTTTGTATCATCATTCTCGTCTTCATGGTCATCACCACGACTGGACCAGCGATTTGATGGCAGTAACTGGCGTTTATAGTGTATCTAGGTCTTACATGTGCTCTTAAATTTTGTTTGTATGCTTTTTATCTGCTATAGATGATGTAGTCGTGGTGTTATTGCTAGGTAGTTGTGATCTATAGGGTTATCATATCTCGGATACATACAGCTACCCTACCATTATATATAACCAACACATCATTTCACCAATATCAATCCATCAACACCACGTATAGTAGTCACGCCAACACCACAAACTACATGACGAGCCATACAAAATAAATGACAAATATATGTAATACCCACCGGATCAATATTAGGATCACACTGGCATCACACAAGATCAATCAACGACAATCGACATTGGAGGCATGATACCAGCAAAACAAGACCATCTACGGCATTTAGTGATAGATTCGTACGACGATTAGCACCGATAAATATGCCACAGTAGTAAATATAAGGTGATCTTAGTATATATCAAGAAAAATCACAGTATCAAGTCCAGCACCTTGATCAAACCCTCTGATCTAGTACCTACATACAGTATATCGAGCTTCCTCACAAGTTGAACCTAGCTCCGGGTTGAACCCCCGAAAAACACCGAAACACCCCGAGCCCGGGGACCAACCCGCCCCGACCCGACCGACAGGGGGGTTCAACTCAAACCCGCAGCTCTTCATACTACGAACTCCGGTTGATGGCCATTTGAGATCGTTGATGTCGCAACCAACAGACATTATTATGACATTTAACTATAAGGATATTATTCTATAACCTATGAATAACTTGACCAGATAGCAGATCAGAAATAAAACGCGCGTTGTTGCTCGTGATCGGCCACTTATTTCACTGGTATCCCACCAACCATCCAGCTGCTGCCCCAGGCCAACAACACCCGCTTACCTGAACAGGAACCACGGTCACGGGGACAGCAGCGCGTCACGACACGTCTGTTCGCGTTGGATTCCATTTTATGATCATTACGCGATGGATATGCCGCCGTGTGATATGCTACGGAGCAAGGAAATCCAGGCAGAAGATGGATTTTCTCCAGACAATACGAATACTCAAACGGACATAGCTCCCATGCTATAGAGGAATAACGGAATGCAGTAGCTGCAAATGCTTACCTGCGGGATAACTGCCACAGACAGACATACTGCTACGCACCTCGCCGCCTTGCTGGCATCCCCAAGAGAATGGTTGAATACAAGGTGCTCAAACCAAAGACAACTGGCCCATGACCCTACAGGCCTTGAACCCATCAGAGACCAGCACCACGCGTAGTAGCAAGACAACGGTAGGATAGATATGAGGCCCGAGAAAGCTCAATCTCCTCCACACTCATGCGAATTTAACGCAAGTTAAACGTTGGTGCCACTTCTTGGTGTTATGGCCCGGAACAAGCCATAGATTGGCAGCACTCTCACAGCTAACCGGAAGTGGGCTCACTATCCTACGAGCAGCAGTCACGTCGAGGGACTGGCCACAGGGCGGCATACACTCCAAGGGCAAGCAGAGACATAAGGCACGGTTAATGCGCATAGTGCTACTGCGTTCCAGGCCCCTGTTGCCTTGCCTCCGACGAGCAAGATAGCTGGATACGTAACCCGCATCCCTACTCGATCGCCATCACCCAGATCCGAAGACACCCAAAGGCCACCACCTATGCCACCACGGACACCATAGCCGCGAGAAGCAGGCACACAATGGATGAAGCCATATACAACGGATTATGGGGACTGTGCTTGGCAGGTGTCAGAGGAACTGCGGGTGGACTGGTAAAAGACCCTACGGAAATAATGCAGATTGGCCACACGACTACTCGCAGCCTCTGGTTAGATCCAGCGAAGCATAGGGTCCACAGGTGACCCAGTGTCGCGAAGGGTATGCAAGTTGTCTCGCCCACCCCCAATGCCTTGGAAAGAGCGTGGGACCGCTCAAGAACGTAACGCGTGTGGATATCAACACTGGGAAAAGTCGAGAAGGGAACCTCCACACCTAAAGATCGACCCAGGGCTTCCGGATCCTACGAACAGTTGACTGATATCCACATAATAACCTGCAAATGGGATCACAATTTCAATGACCGGATCAGACCATGTGGTTGGTTTCTTGACCGTCGGTGATATCAGCGTGAAAGCATGGAACAAACAGGAATTATCAATTTCTACGTCACCGGTCCGTCCCTGTATAATTAACATCCTGGAGATAATGACCCGAGTATCCTGCCCTGATGCATTGCCCATAGCTCGTTCTATAGCCGGTTTCTGGTCCCGCCAATGAACCCACGACCGTGTGTATGTTCTATGATCATGACCACATGGCATGACTGATATTCGAAACCTGAAGTCAAGATCTATGCTATTGAGTAATGCTGATCAACCACTCCTACATGCCAAAGACAGGTTTCTTAGAAGCTCACTTGACGGGCGTACGCAAGACAGCGCTCATCATGACGCAATAAGCGGACTATCACCACAGGGTACCTTGCACATCACCTCAGGTTACCTTAGCCAAAGGAGTCCATGTATGAGGCAGAAGCACCGCAACCGGAGAGAATATGTCACGGACTCCTAGAACAGTTGTAACCCACCTCATGCAGCCGCAGCCACACCCACGACCTCCTGAGCCAACACTTCTATCGGCCGATTACTCAAGATATCAAACACAGCCACATCCTTCTGGAGTGCTTCCTTAAACCAACTCCGCAATTCCATCGCAACCAATGAGTCCACCCCATACATATGCAACGGCTTCGCTGGATCAATATCATCAGCGTCGATAGCAAGCACATCCGAGACCCTCTCGCAGATCGCCCGTCTGACCGCGTCTGGACCGCCATCTGCCACAGTAGACGAAAGCGTATCATCGATCGCGGCAGTCGGGAGTTTCAGCGATGAGGGGTCCTTCTCATTCGATCGTTGAGCAGCAACAACCTTGCTCCTGCCAAGCGTTGGGTTCATGCGTCGCTGCAAATGATTCCACAACGGCCGCGAGTAAAATCGCGAGCGCACAAGTCCACTTCGCTGCATCTCGTCTTGGTTTATGATGCCAACGACTATTTGGGCGTCACTGGGATGAAGGATTTCACGTCTGGTGTCGCAGTAATATTCTAATATGGAAAGGAGATATTCTTCAGGGATGGGCTGTAACCCCAGAGAGCGCATGAAGGAGCCCACGCCCTGATGCTCGGCCGTGTATCCAACCCCTTCGACAATCCCGAGGTCAATGGAAATGGCCTTCTGTCTCATCGCGACTTTAGATCGGGCCAATGCATCTTGGTAGGCGCAGCCAAAGGCGTAGTTGGATTGACCGCTGGCGCCGATTATACCACACACGGACGATAAGAAGATGAAAAAATCAAGCTGGTTTGGTAGGTGGCGATCGAGGTTATCCGAACCTTGCACCTTTGAGCGTAGTGCTTCGTTCCACTGATCGAGGGTCATATTCGCGAACATGGCAGACTGCAATAACAGATATGTTAGTTTGTGATTCTTGCGTGGGGCATTTTTAGAATGTGATAGTTACCTTGAGAACCATAGATGCCTGGATGCATCCTTTGATGGGAGGCATCCGCCGCTGTACTTCCTGGATAAGTTCACTGACTGCCACTTCATCACCTATATCGCACTTGGGCGCGAAAGTTGTCACGCTCATGGTCGCGCATTCGTCAAGGAAGGAATCTGCTCCAGGGCTTTCTGTACCTTGCCGACTAAGGAGAACGAGATATCGGACCCCATTAGAGATCATCCATTTGGCTATGCTTCTCCCAAGACCACCCAAGCCCCCGGCAATGAGGTATGTCGATGTCGAGTCGAATAGTTGCGGCTTAGATGCAGTAAGATTGTTCAAGTCGAAGGAAACACACGTCTTGGCTGACTGAGATTGCTCAACAGCCTTCACACCACCGGATTTCTCAAGCTCAGAGAAGGCGAGTACTCTGAGAGGCTGTACAGCAACCACTGATTTATGCTCTATCAGACGCATGACCTGAGGCAAGATAGTTGCAATTTTCTCTGTGTCTTGAAGAAGCGTCGGAATATCCAGCCGGGCGAAAATGACGCTTTGTTTGAAGAGTCGAGGTCGGGGAGGCATAGCTCTGAGGGAAGTAGATGCATTCGTGTCGACCAGCTCAATAACTCGGCCATATTCTGTCATGCAGTCCCACGCTGCTTGATCCGATTTCTTCGCAATCAATGGAGTGAACATGACATCCGCGCCTCGACCGTGGGTTAGGCGTTTGATTCCCATCATCAGCATATGTCCTTGATGTGGAACTCTGTGCGAAGCGGGGATAGAGTACATATCCGCTATAGCTTCCTCATCCTTAGTATTGAAAGTCACAAAAACCTCTGCACCCAGGAACTGAGCGAGTTGAATCGCGGCCTGACTGAGTGAACTACCGCCGTCATGGATGATAATCGAATCCCCTGCCTGTAGCCGCGCACAATTGTGCAGCGAGTCGTATGCAATCAGAAAATCGAGTGGCAAAAAAATCTCTCCCTTTCTGTATAATTCGTCGGGGATCTTATGAGCGAGACCAACCGGGCACTGAATCCGATCTTTGATTGATGCCGTGCCAGAATGCGGTACGATAGCAGCAACGGGATCGCCAACCTGAAAGGTGCCTTGCACGTCTGACCCGATCTGGGTGATGGTGCCGTTTATCTCCTGGCCCAAAGAAGGCTGGCCGGTAGTAATGTTTGGTGTGATCGTAGCCGCGCGTATCTGGATTTCCATCTCATTGTTCGCAAGGCTGCGCAAATCATTATCCATATGGGCCTTGGATTGCTGCATACTCCAGATCTCCTTCGCTATTGTCTCTGCCGGCAAGACACGACTTAAGCATAAGCGGCCATCGATCTCAAGGATCTCCTCGCCATTTATGCTCAGTAAGGAGGTTTCAGCACAGAAATAGTGTTCCAACACTGCCCGGATATGCTGTGCTGCGCGAGAAGTAGCCTCGATACCTTCCAGTCCTAGGGTCACGATATTGAGGCCCTCGCTCTCTGACATAAGGGAGCGTGCAAGGCCAAGCACAGCGTCCTGCTCCAACGAACCTGGATTTGGGCTGTCGTGTCTCCGTGTCACCCAAAGAAGCTTACTGGCCATTGCCATAGTAGTCTTTAAATTCTGGTACCCTTCCTCGTCAAGCTCGTGGAAGACGAAATCGTCAATGGTCTGCAAGAAGACCACGGTAGCTCCACTGGGAACCTCATGTAGTTCAGAAGCATCATGGATGCTGACAGACAGGTTCAACTCTTTGATCAAGTCGCATATCGAGGTGGCTAAGGACTGCTGCAAACCTGAGCTCTCTTTTCTCAGAATGAGAATGTCTGACGATGTTGGCATCATGTCGCTGTTAGATCGAACAAGAGGGCGCGCAGTTGAGATTACCGCACTACTCAGTGAGCTTTTCTTGTCTGGGCCATCTAGAACGAATTCCGCTCCGGTGAAATGGCTATCCTGGAGCAGCTTATTCCACCGGTCCATAGGGACCAGTGGTCCCCACTCGCGATACGCCTCGGTTGATAGCCACCACCCCGGCAAGCAGCCGAAGATGAAAGAGGTCCTTAGTAGGTTAGGACTAGTGCCCTCAATGAGTATAAGCTTCCCTCCAGGCTTCAAAAGCTGTCTGGTGTTCCCCAGAGTCAATCCCAAGTCCTTGGTGGCATGTAAAACCTAGGCTGGTCAGCTCTGAATCCACCGGTATGCAGAGTGCGAACTTACATTGCTGGCAATGACGAGATCAAAGGCCTCTTTTTCAAAGCCTTGATCTACAGGCATCTTCTCAATATCGAGGGTCTTCGTCATGACCCTTTCCCCTCTGCCAAATTTCTCTCTGGCGTCCTTAAAGAAGGCGGGAGAGATGTCTGTGAACACATACTGTGCAAAACGCTCCGCAGCACTGCCATCATGGCCGCCAATGATATCCAGGATATACCGTGTCATACCACCTGTACCTCCCCCAATTTCCAGAACCAGCATGTTAGGATTGGCATGCGCCATGCAGTCAACATACTGCTGGACTCCTTTCACGACCTCAGGAGGAGGGTTCTCCTGACGGTAGTAGTCTGCCAACGTATCGTCGGCAAAGAGAATCTGCAGCGCATCAATCTCACCCCGGATGATGGGCAGTATTTGCCGACACAACTTGACAATAAGCCTGCCCTCGGGTCCGAATGATGATACTTTCTGCCACAGCTGTTCCTGGAACCCACTACCTGCTGGTTGTGTAGAGATCCAATCTTTCCAACCAACGGACGCTCTTATAAGCCCGGTCTGATGTCGCATCCAAGCCAAGTACTTCTGTAGATGTTTAGGGCTCTGGGAATGAACTGACACGCCACCATCGACTGCGCACAACACTTCAGACATGGCAAGGAAGCAGGCATATTCAGTGAGCCTGATCCTTTCTGACTCACTTTGGGATAGCTGCAATGGCTGGGCGGCAAACAACCCAGTTTGGGGGCCAAGAAGATTGACATCGGGCTTCCAGTCGACACGGTACATGGAGACGGTGCTTTCCTTAGTCTCATTTACAGCTGGGTTAGCAGTCTTTTCAATGGATGTGAGTGTTAGATCGCCTATGAGAAGAGGTCTTTCGTTCTCAGCCCCAACTGAGATGTAATCCACATCATAGCGTCGCGCACTGCTCCGACCAGATTTTGCGGACACAGCAACCATTTGCCGTGTTATATCTGCCGATATCCACAGATGATTGACCGATGTTGGTACAATGGTTGGGATTTCAACTTGTCCCCCACGCGTGATCCCAAGGAAGGCCACCTGAATGATACAATCGAGTGCTGCAGGGTGGATGAAGCAGGGCGATTGGTCGTTCTCTTCGATGATGTCGGTCCACCTTTGCAAATCAATCGTCCCGACACCTTCATTCTCAGCACTGTGCATGATGTCGCGATCCATTTGGAATATTGGACCATAGCTAAGCCCCGAGTCACGCAAGCGTGCATAGAATCTCTGGTGTTCAGTTGGCGAGAGGCTTGCACTCAGTCGTTTCACATATTCGTCCGCCACACTGCGATCGAGGTCAAAGTCGTAAAGGCTAGTATGGTGCTCAACCGTAATATAGCCTCGACAACATTGAGTCCATTGCCCGTGGTCGTGCATGTAGAGCCGGAAGTCATAGCAAGGGGCAAGGTCCATGCTCAGCTGCTCAACCTTTCGCAGGCGGAACTGGACCTCAACTCCCAGCCTTGAGTCTGGGACCACAACACTTCTGCTAAATACAACATCTCTGAATTGATAGCTTTTCGGCTGGTGGTGGGGGACATGTACAACCTGTCGTGTAGCTTCAATAGCCATAGCAAGCATTCCAGCTGCAGGATAGACGCAAGCCCCAGAAACCTGTGCCGACTGGTTAGAAGGATGAAAAGCTTGAAGCAATCCACGTGAAGCTAACTCACCTGGTGATCTCTGATCCATGGCTGTTCTTGGAGAAGAATTCTGTTGTTCCATTGTGGTTCCAGAGGGTTCCAATCCGATGCTGACTTGCCGAGGAAATCATGGTGGGGGTATTTCCTAAACCGATAGTCCTTGCTGATGCGACTTTCCATCCAGTATCGCTTGGAATGATCGAATGGATATGACGGAAGATCGAAGAGTACCCGATTGCTATTCGAGTGCTGATTGTTCACTGCACTCAAATCGACTGGAAGGCCAAGACTATACAGTCTTCCTGCAACCGTCAACGCGGTGGATACTGCTGATTGCGGGCGAGATAACATATGACTGTACGACCTTTCCACGCTCCAGTCCTTGGCTTCTAGGGCCAGGGTCTCCTTGATTGCTGATTTGAGTGTAGAATGTGGTCCGACTTCGATGAAATGGGTGTTCGCAATTCCAACCTTATTTTCGAGTAGCGATGCTAACTTCTGCATGGCTTGTGTAAATCGTACTGGGCAGACAAGATTGTCAAGCCAATAGTATGGCTTCGAAACTTCAGATGCATCCGAGTTTGGCGCAAAGAAAATATCGCGAAAACTGGAAAACATGTAGCAACTGGGTGCTAGAATCGCCCTCCCTCCGGGTTCGCTCGAGTGTGACTTCTTGATAAGAGCCTGATATAAGCTTGCTGCAGGTTCCATATGTTTTGCATTGTGGTACGCGATGCTAACGTTCAACCTTTTGCTCATGATTCCTTCTGTTTCCAACGTGAGTGCCAGTCTTTCGATTTGATTCGTATCTCCGGATAAGGTCAAGTTCTGGGGGCTGTTGTAGCACGCGATACCTATGTTGCGTGTTTCGGGGTTCTGACTATTTGCAAGGTCTGCAAGCAGCTTTGAGCATTTATCTGATGAGAGCCGTGTCGCCAGCATGCCGCCATCTGGAGAACCCATTCGCGATGTTGCCGAGACAGCTAAGCCTCGGAAGAAGGCCAGCTCAAGAGCGTGGCTTTTAGTGATGATTCCGGCACAGTATGCAGCGGCAACCTCTCCGGACGAATGACCAACCACAGCAAATGGATGGACGTTCCAGTTCGCTAGAAGTTCGACGAGGGCAACCTGTAGAGCTGTGCAAATCGGCTGGCAGAACTCTGGTTGATTCAGTTCGGTGCCCTTATCACTGTACAGTGTTTCTGAATATAGTGAATATTAGAATTTTTCTGTCAAATGACTAGAATGATGCATTGCTTTACCTACCAAGAACTGAAAATTGGCATCCAACATTGTGGAGGAGTGTGTCTGACTCCTCTAGACTGCGCCTGAAGACGTCGTAGTCGAGGAGCTCCTTCCCCATGCCCACCCAATGAGCTCCTTGTCCGGTAAACACAAAGCATACCTGAAGCTTTGAGTTGACCTGCACGGCCGGGGGAACGCTTAGGTTGCCGAAGCCCTGGCTAGGATCGCTGACACAGAAAGTTCTCCAGGGGAATTGAGAGCGACGCCGCGATAAGGTGAATGCAAGGGCCTCTAGGTACGCTGGCGATCTGCTTTCAGTGTGTTCTGAAAGAAAATCCTTATAACCCTGAGCAATCCGTGAGGCAGTCTTCTTATCGGCTGCTGACCAGACCAGTAGCTTTGTAGCTTCCTGGGATGGGAAAGCATTGCCATTTATGTGCAGATGCCCCGGTCCTTTATTCCGGACAACAGACTGAGCGCCATCAATAACTGCATGGGCATTGGTCCCACCAAATCCAAAAGAGTTAACCGAAACACGCCTAAGCTCATTTTCGGGCCACGGAATTGAGGTTGTAGGGAAATGCAACCCCCATTCTTCCTTGATTGCCGGATTCCGTCTCTCATGCCAGATATTAGGGGGAATGACGCCACGCTCTAGCACCAAGATAGCCTTGATCACCGCTGCTAGTCCGCTGGCACCCTCAAGGTGGCCAACATTGGATTTCAGTGCACCTACATAGATGGGTCGTCCGTCATGTTGTCCTGAACAAAACACCGTCGCAATGGCATCTGCCTCAATGGGGTCCCCCACTTGAGTGCCGGTCCCGTGCGCCTCAAAATAACGAGTTTGATCGAGCGCGAGGCCAAAGCGAGCATAAGTACCTCGGATCAAATCAATCTGAGCGCTGGGACTTGGTTGGGAGATTCCGGGAGTCCGACCATCCGAATTCACTCCGGTTCCTCGAATAAGGGCCCGAATGGGATCTTGGTTGCTTAGAGCGGCAGAGAGCGGCTTGATTACAAGACATGCAATGCCTTCCCCACGAGCGTAACCATTTGCTCGTTCATCGAATGCGTAGCATATACCATCCGGTGAGAGGAAGTTGAGGTTGGATAATCCGGCCGTGGTCTCTGGGGTAAAAAGGAGATTGCTGCCGCAGACAAGACCCTAGGGAGAAAGCCGATAAGACAGATGCTCGGATATGATTACCCATCATGAAACCTACCATGCTTGTTTCTCCGGTACGGAGGCTCTCACACGCCAGATGTAGGGCAACCAGACTGCTGGAACAAGCTGTGTTGATTGCGACACTGGGGCCCTTGAGGTTGTAAAACCAGCTGATCCGATTGGCAAGGATAGCACTAGCCTTTCCTGTAGCATGGTAGGTGCTCGGCATGTCCAAATCCTTGTGCAGCATCGTTTCGAAATCGTTCATGAAGTTGCCTACGAATGCTGATGTATTCGACCCATCTACTTCTTCAATGCTAAGGCCTGCTGTTGTTTGTCGTTAGCAGCCTGCCTATGCTGAGGAGCATACGAATGCGTACCATTCTCCAGTGCATGATATGCCACTTCGAGGAGCCATCGCTGCTGTGGATCCATGCATTCTGCTTCATGGGGAGATATGGAGAAAAAGGGAGCATCGAAGCGGTCCAAGGATTCGGCAATGTAATGCCCATGTCTAGTTTTTATCTGTATCTATAATTATCTCCTGCTCAACTTTCATACCACAAGTTTATCTTTCAACATACTGTGCCCACTCTTTGTCTGTCACCAGCAGCCGTTGCCTTATAGAAAGCCTCAGCATTGAACCGATCAGTAGGAGTTTCTGTACGTGCCGAACGGCCTTGGATGAGAAGATCCCAAAAGCCTGCTGAAGTCGATGCTTGTTGAGGGAGCTTAAGGCCAAACCCGATGACGGCAATTGGCTCGAAATTGGAGCTCTGCATTGGGTGTCCTTTCGACTTCTCCACCTCAATGCCCGATGAGTATTGTCATGGAAGAACAAGCGCGATGAAAACAGTTCACAGAGGAATTCGATCAAATAAGCTCAAGTGCTATCGGATGGTCCCTTTGACAGGAATGTTCGGGGAGTAGGCCGGCGAGTTTGAGGCGGCTACAGTAAAACCCCCGGATCTGGAAATATTATAGTAGATGCCGGCATCCACATCCTGAGCACCTTTGCTTTCAGCGCATATTTTGCTTTCCGGTTTCTACACCTATAAGGTGTTGACAACAATGCGTTTATTAGGGTCAGTCTATGTCCTGATGCCGTAACGCCTTGCTACTTGAGCGTTACAAGCATTGACCGACAGGGCTGGTAAGGCATAAGAAGGCCAGACAGACAAGTGGAAGATCGGTGAGGGATATGTCTTGTATGCCTGAAGATTCAATAAAGGGTGGATTAGTCGGGTCTCGATTAATGGGATCGATGCTCGAGGGTATCGCTGATACTCCCCAAGGGACTGCTTCCATATTGGTAAACTTCACACTAGAAGAATGCCACAGTCCCCTCACAGCTATATCTACGCTGTGTTTGCTGTCTCCATTCCGTTCCCATGCTAAGAGCACTGCAGCCATGACATACGGGTTTCGAGAGCCTGAGGCGCTATGCCCAAGCAACCCGACTGCTGCTGCAAGGGAGCAGCCAGCCGATTTCGGGAATTTTCATTTCACACGGATTTCGAATGCCTCTTCAAAATACACAGAACTGTGTTCTAGGCAGCATCCAGAAGAAATCTTTTTCTGAGATGCCAAAGGGCAGTGTGAATTTCTGATCGGATCAAAACACATAAAGTTGGTTCTAAAAGTAGGAAGTCCAGGAGGAAGACGACAAAGAGCTTGTAAAGCCGCAGAAGTCAGGTGATGTGGGCCAATCAGCACATGCAGAAATGTTTTTCTTTACTATTGAGCAACTGCAACGCATACGGCACCGATTGAACTATTTACTCTTGCGGTTACCAAGCAGACAATCTGTTGTGTCACTATAACAAACAACGCCTTGCCTTACCCCATTTAGTAACCCCATTGGGAAGGCCCTGAAGTACTGACTTGTCACTTCCATCGTCCTTCTTCCTTCTTCCTTCCTTCCCCCCTCGCACCAAGAGTAAGATAACAAAGATGGCCATAGCGTTGGGTGACGATAGGATTACACATTGGATTATGCAAGAATCTTTTCTGGAATGGTTGACCACTTATGGAGTTATTTGTCTACGACATACCATCCTTCATTCCGTGGCTCAGCTGGGCAGCAAGGGAAGTAGGACACCGCAGATACTAAGACCCAAACAAGCTCAGCTTGACCTGTTGAAGTCGAGGTACCTGCAGTCCAGCGTGCATAACACACTAATTAAAGTAGGTCTCTAACATAGGGAACGGAGCTATCTCTTTAGTAGATTGGCGCTTACAATCATTCGGAGACTCGAGAAATAGGCGCGAATTCTGATGGTGACTGCTTCCCCCCCCTTCCATTCCCCCATCTTCAGGGTTCTTATTTGGCTGACGGGCTTGCTGTAGGTACTTATTAGCTTTGACCTCAGCCACTTTCGAAGCTTTGGTAGTCATTTACTTGTATGGATCTATCAGGTCTATACCTTTTTTCTGCCGGCTCGTGTAATAGGTTAGTGAGCCCATACTCTTAGCCAGGTTTACATCCACAAGCAAATGCGCGTTGTGCTATGAGTGGTCTCTTCTGTTGTACTCGTCTTTGCGCCGTCTTTTCTAGGGAAGTTTGCTAAGCGACTGAACAACCGCGAAGCTACAGATAATACAGTTCCTGCACAGCTTGCCATCTTTATAGACCGATTCTTGCTCCCTGACCTGAAAAGAAGAGTATCCCAAAACTTCCTCACCCATTATATTTTCAAACTATAGAGATCTGCCCGCCCCCACCACCACGACCACGACGCATACACAATCCATTTTGTGGACTCGTATATCTCACACTGCGCTTAACAAATTGATTCCCCTCCCTGATATGACGTGAACCCAATATAATTGTCCAGTTCGCCCGACCGCCCGACATAATTTGCGATTTATTCCACTTTTCCCAGCATGAGTGCTGTGAAACGGGCTGCATGCGACCGGTGCCATGGCCAGAAAATGCGGTGCATTCGGAAACCCACCAAATCATCGTGTCACCGGTGCCTGGCAGCTGGCGCGCTGTGTGTGTTCAGCATGGCCCGAAAAGCAGGAAGACCACCAACACAACACCAGGGCATGAAAGATACGTCGGGCGGCTGGAGACTCGCGAGCAGTAATCGGGGTGAACAACAGAACCAGCAACAACAAAGAAGGCGACGGCAACAGCAACAGAAAAAGCACCAACATCAACATCGCCGGCCGTATTCAGACTCCCTTGGCGGCTCTAGAGATCTCCAGGAGAATGATGGCACCTTGGAAGGCACAGATGACGCCCAGCCAAGCTTCGAGGCCATGCTTCTCGATGCGGTTACAGACGATTCAGAGACGCTGATACCGCTTTTCAGTAATTCATTGCCCACGATACCCGGGCTTGGAACTTGGGATGACGGGGATACATCCAGGACGTATGTTGAAGGCGCCTCCCATCCGCTGCCAACGGACAGCAATCGCCAACAAGTAGATTTCATGACGGATCAACCAGTCATTAGAGACAGCCCTTTATTGGTTACGGAATGCAGCCAGCCAGGCACAGGCACCAAACCCATAGAATGCGAGCTCATTGTTCCTCCCATTGCAGGGAGTGTCATCCAGCAGCTCTGCGCACTCAGCGTAAAGCTTGCGAGCCAAATCAAATCGCTCTCCTCCATAGACTCGGACACGGCAAATAACCCCATGCCACGGCTGGAACAGCTAGCAGCCAATGTGATTGAGAGCTCCGTTGAATTACATCGCGTTCTTAGTGAAGCCAGATCGATGCTAGAAGCGCTTGATGGTCTGGACCCCATATTGTCAGACACAGCCATGATCTTGCAGGTCCTGTCAGCGTACATTCGTTTGACGCAGCTTCATTACGCCCTTTACCAAGAGATGAATTTCGCCCTGATGAAGCTTAGCGACTGCCCATCTCATGAATTCTCACCTTCTGATATTTTCGTTCTTTTCCCAATGCTGCACATTGGCGGCGTTTCACTGTCGTCTTATTACCGCTTCCAGCTCAAGTTCGTCCTGCAGATCTGTGTTCATCATCTTGGAGAGACCGAGGCTCTTCTTGGCCTTCCAGCCGACCTTTGTGTGAGCGGGCGGATGCTCCATGGGGAGGGAATCTTGCACCAGAGCACGGGTGAAATGTCCTTCCTCGTGCGGACCATAATGTGTCAAGCGGAAAAGACCGTCAAGGGCATTCGCAGCGTGCTGGCAGAACTATCAGAGCGAACAAAGGGAGCAATTGAAGTATAGATGGTGCCCAACAATAGAGCACAATACTACACGCACGTCTTGAGTGATGGATGTTCTTTGAGGTGAATGATATCCATGGGGATGTAGCCTATCCTTGAATATTTTGCGCGGTGGCGGCCTTTCCCTCACTAGCTCATTCCACTGATCACTTTTCCTTGTTACCTGATCACGGCAGTGCAGCCACCAATCCAAATCGACAAGGCTAATGTTGTGCCATGCTTCTACTACGAGCCGGTTTCTTCGGCTTCAATGAATCTACCGGTCGCCACGGCGGATAGGCCTCTCAGACAGACTTAACGAGCTGAACAAAGCCTGCTCATGACCACAGTGCTCACGCGAATGAATGTAGGACAGAGCTACCGGTCTAGCAACTTTAAGCCTCTTATTGTGGTTTCAATTGTCTACTATCTCAACGAAAATAATCTCGGACTGCTGGCCTTTCAAACATACCGAAGTCAATGGAAATGTACAGGCTGAGGCAGGAGGAAAAAACAAGTGTACGAGAAACGGAGACCCTTGTCGAGTGCCTGATTTTCTATTTCCATTTTTTGCTTACATTTGTCATACCTCAGAAGTTGACGGAGTAACCAGCTGCAATAGAAAGACAAGGTATCCCAGGTCCTCCTGTATTATCCGGGGAATTTGCCCGGCGGGTATCACAGACAGGCATCATTCCTCCGGTAGGGAGACCCGGTGGGTTTTGGAGCTATGTGAAAAAGAGCAAAATTCCCCGGGTTTGCAAGAAAAGTTAAACCTCAAAGCAGGATACAAATAATGACCTGTAATATGTTAGTACTGGAGCATGATTGAATCCGTGCAGGCACTAATCGCGTCCTGCCTGCCAACCATGTGACTCCATACCACCCTGGAAAAAGACCATCTCTATCGTCTGCGAGTGGAAAGGACCGACATTGCCCTTATCAGCTGACCAGAAAGTCACTCCAGCAGAGAACAGTGGCCGGAAAAAGACGGATGTCAAGTTCCCTGGCCTCGACCTTGGTGCAGCAGAAGAGCCAGTCCTTGCAATACCTGCCGCTTATTGAGATGAGACCAGTCCAGGAACAGGACTTGCATAAGAAGGCTGGAAGGACGAGCTAACTTTACAGCCACTCGCTTATCGTTTGGAAGCTTTAGTCTACCCTGTCCCATTCAATTGATTGGTCGATTGCAATATCTACGGAGTAAGCGAGAACAGGCTAGACACGGGCTAATAGTATACTAAGTTATACTAAGACTTTATTTGTCGGGCATCCAGGCACGATGTAACGTTGTATGCTTATAGATGAACCATATCAGGGAGAAAAGTGAGGCTGAAGTCATATTTGATATACAGAACCTAGCAGGTACTGCTGTTCAATCACTGTCAGAACTACAATCTATCCCTTCTTTCCCGCGTACGATGCCTAGCTCCGACTCACCCCACACGCCCTCCTCTTCCTCGCCAGCCAGCTTTCATCTCGCAGACGGGCTAGGCTATGCTCTCCAACAGAATCACCGGTCGGTCATCCGCCTGAACTTGCAGCATTTCCTATGGCGCCAAGTCTTCGGCTATAGCATCCACCCTCGATCCCCACCACGCCAACGGTGCTTAGGAAGGTGGCCGATGTAGCTTGTGGCATTGCTGCACCAGCCTTGGAGGAGATTTGTGTGGGCTCGTATGCTGATGGTCGCCATTATTGGGCTTTGGATCTGCCGCGGCTGCTGGCTGAAGTTGGTTTCTAGGAGGTGACTATCGATCACTACGATGAACCCCCGGAGATGGTTCGGGCCTTTAATGATCTGCATTTGTTTTGAGGAGTCTGCAACCAGACTGGCAGTCCAGGGCGAGCACGAGGCTGCGATGAGGTTCACCCAGCTCCTCCAGGCTGGCTATCAGGAGTCAGTGAACGGGGCCGCCCTTTCATTTCCGCGGGTGGTGGTCGTGGCTAAGCGACCGGCGCAAAAGGACTAATATCAGAAATGAGATGGAGATGACCAAGGTCCATGTACCTAGTCACATATCTTGATTCCTTCATGGCTAAATATTATCAGCCATTGAGTTAATCCAACTAGTAGCGTATAGCGTAGCTGTTAGATCATGTGGTATCTGTGGATAGTTAGGAAGACTAAGTCTGGGAGAGAGGCATGACGTAGAATGTCACAAGAAATCTCTAGTACTTTGTAGTAATAAATGTCTGCACCGAATAACATTCTGCAGCATAGGCTATTACTATAGCCATTTATAGTTAATAGATAATTCTCTGTAGACAGAAAAATCACCTGACCTCTTCACCTTCCTGATCTCCTCTCCATCCAATCTACAGCAAATTTACTCCACTCGTACGAAGATTCATTTGCGAAGACATGTCTACAGCGCTTCTCTGTTGTTTGTCATGCGCAGAGTCGAGGACCAGGAAATCGAGCCAGAGGGTCCAGTCACAGTCGGTATGCCAATATTCCCATCATCGCTGCGGCCACCGCCACAACCAGCATAGCCCAGCCTGAAGAGGTGAAGATGAGATACATGTTTAAGAGTAAGGAAAGGTAGCTCTGTATCAATATATGCATTTATTCTCACTCGTCCCTTTTCTCTTTCCTCGAGATTCCTCCAATTTTTCCGGTGCCGGTCGGTCAAATAGCAATAAGATAATGCACCGGCGGTAACAACCCCCTTCCTTCGAACCAGAAACCATCCGGAGGGCATCGGCTACCAACCATTGCACCCCAGTTAACATAGAAATAAGCAAGTGTCTTCAGAAAGAAACATGAAAAATTCTGGGTGACACGATTTGCAGCCATGTCATCAATTACCACCAAGTCACTATGACCGCTGCGATAGACCCGATTCAGGCCTCGGCTGCCTTTTTCAACCCCCAGAGTCGAGCACCAGACCCTGCCGATCTCAGCGCCCTATACATATTTCTGAGCAAACATCCCCACGGGAAAACCTTGCTTCATCATGTGGCCTCCCTGACTGACGTGTTGCATCTATTCGCTGTCCATCGAGAGGATGTGCGAAATCTGCCCAATGCTGAAAACTATGTACGCCTGCTGAAGGACTGGGCCAATGGGGGCCCCTCTGCCCCGGTCTCCGAAGCTCGCACGGGAATCATCGCCCTACCCTTGCTCCTGATTCTTCAGTTGGGGGAGTACCTTCGCTACCTGGACTTCCATGGTATCTCTCACGCCGACTTTATTGCCCAGATACAGAAAGGAGGAGGTATTCATGGCTGTTGTGCAGGAGAGCCGCCTGCTCTTTCCATAGCCTGCGCGAAGGATGAAGGGCAGATCATGGACAATGCTGCGGTATTTCTGCGAATAATGGTGGGAATGGGAGCGTACATCGAGGCTTTGGATGATTGGACCACGAGCCAGTCCAACATCTTGGCCGTCCGCCTCAAGTATGAAGGCCAAGAGGAAGAGTTCACGAAAATGTTTCCGCGTGTAAGCCCCAAGATGCTCGCAAACCTAGAACAAAAAGCCCGTTAGCTATCAGATACTGATCAGTGTCGTTGGAACCAGACATATGTTTCGACAATTACAGAGCCTCGCACGCTTAGTTTTATAGGAAATGCGAAATCTATAGCGGCCATGTATGAGTATTGTCGGAAAAACGGTCTACCAGCAGACAAGATGGATGTGACTGGAAAGGCTCATAATCCAGAGAATGAGCACGTAGTTCCAGAGTTCATGGACATTATCAACAAAAATTCATCTATTTTTCAGCTGCCCCAGCAAAGTCGACTACAGGTCACCGTGCGATCGAACATAACCGGAAAGGCATTGACTGATGCCGAAATCATGGAGGATATGATAAATATGATGTTAGCATCCTGCTGCGACTGGTATGGCTTGGTCACCCAAGTGGCTCTCGATCTCAAAGCCTCAGAACGTCCAGCTCACCGGCTGGTCATTTTCGGACTCAATGATAGTGTGCCCTTGTCGCCATTCAATAGGCAACGCCTCAAGGCTTTTAAGTTCAAAGCAAATCAACTGCTTGTATCTCACTCTCAAGCAACCCCCTCCAGTATACTGGAGTTTGCTGACAGTGCTATCGCAATCGTGGGACTTTCGTGCCGGTTCCCGGGCGCAAACAATCTTGAAGAACTCTGGGACTTGATTGCCAGAGGCCATGATACTCACGAAGAAGTGCCAGTCGAGAGAATCAACCTCGGCCGGAGCTACAGGACTTTACAGGATGAACATATGGCGAAAAGAAAGTTCTTTGGCAACTTCGTCGATGATATCAAACGTTTTGACAATTCTTTCTTTGGCATCAACGCCAGAGAAGCCGCCAGCCTGGACCCCCAGCAAAAAATGCTTTTGGAGCTGTCTTATGAGGCTTTAGAATCGAGTGGGTACTTGACCTCTCATCAGCGGAGCGCGGAAGACCCAGTTGCTTGCTTCATCGGAGGCAGTCTGAACGAATATCTGGAAAATACCGCCTGTCATGCCCCGTCAGCATATACAGCTACGGGTACCATCCGCGCCTTCATGTGTGGCCGACTCAGCTATTACTATGGCTGGTCTGGTCCCGCTGAGGTCCTTGATACTGCATGCTCCTCGTCCTTGGTGGCCATCCATCGAGCGTGTCGCGCTATTCAGGCAGGAGAGTGTACCATGGCAATAGCCGGTGGAGTAAGCGCACTCACCACGGCAGGCAATTTCTTTGACTTGGGAAAAGCGGGATTTCTTAGTCAATCGGGCCAATGTAAGCCTTTTGATGCCGCTGCTGATGGATACTGTCGTTCTGAGGGCGCCGGGTTGGTCGTTTTGAAGAAATTGTCTGATGCGGTCAGTGCTGGGGATCACATCTTTGGCGTTATCCCTAGCATTGCTACCAACCAAGGAGGAACTTCGACCACCCTCACGGTACCATCACCAACAGCACTAAAGGCCCTTTATAGAAGTCTTTTTGAGAAGTCAGGTCTCAAGCCCTCTCAAGTCACCTACGTGGAGGCTCATGGAACGGGAACTCAGGCAGGAGACCCCATCGAAATGGAGAGCATTCGGGCAGTACTGGGAGACTCCTCACGAGCAACACCGTTGTCTATCGGCTCCATAAAGGGTAACATTGGGCACTGCGAGCCTGCTGCTGGTGTTGCTGGGCTTCTCAAAGTGTTGGCCATGATGAAATTCGGCGGCATCCCCCCTCAGGCGAACCACAGTCGTCTGAACCCGGCAATTCCAGCACTGGAGTCGGATGGAATGGAGATCACCCGAAAATTCCGGGAGTGGAATGTTTCTCAGCGCGCTGCTTTGGTGAATAGTTACGGTGCTGGAGGATCGAACTGCGCGCTGTTGTGCTGTGAGCTAATACCCTGGGAGGATGCACTGAGACGCAGTCATGTATCATCGTCACCAGCAAGAAATCAGAAGGTCGCATTTCCGATCATCTTGAGCGCAGCCTCAAAAACAAGCCTCACCGAGCATTCTCGGGACCTGGCAACACATCTGTCAAGACACGCTTCCAAGGTGGACGTGGCCAGTGTTGCATTTACTTTGAATGAGCGGAGGAAACGCCACCGTTTCTGCTTCAGTGCTACCGCGACCGATGTGTCTGGATTGGTTCGCACCTTGAACCAGGTTGAAGCGCCAAGCTTTGAATACACACGACAGCACAATGCGGTGGTTATGGTCTTGAGCGGGCAATATGATAACAAGGTGGCGTTAGATCGAAACTTCTACGAAGCATACCCCGCCTTCAAGAGCTATATTGACGCCTGTGATGCATCACTAATTCAGCTGGGGTTTCCGGGTATTGCCACAGCGATTTTCCAGAAAACACCCATTGACAGTGCACTGAGCCTGCAATGCAGTATCTTTGCGGTGCAATACGCCTGCGCTCGCTGCTGGATTGATGGCGGGCTTAAGCCTGATGCCATTATTGGCCACAGCCTTGGCGAGATAGTCGCACTGGGGGTATCTGGAGCTCTTTCCCTCACTGACTGTCTGAAGTTGATTGCATATCGAGCCCGACTCATTGATACAAATTGGGGAACTGAGCGGGGAGCAATGCTCGCCATACATAGTAGCCCGAGTGATGTCCAGAAGCTCATTACCCACTTGTCTGGTCTTGCAAAGACTGCTAAATTGGAGGTCGCTTGCTATAACTCGCCCACTTCGGTAGTTATAGCAGGAGCTTCAGCCACCGTGGACTTGGCTGAGCGTGTTCTATCCATCCACAAAGAGTTTTCTGGGCTTAAATACCAACGTCTATCAACAACTCATGCGTTTCATTCGCATCTTGTTGAGCCCATCATGCCGGATTTGGATGATCTTTGTCGCAGCATGACATACAAACCCAGCATTCGAGTGGAGGCCTGTACTCAGGAGGAGCTCAAATCTATTCAGGACTGGAATGCTGCTCGACATGCGAGAGATCCAGTGTACTTTGTTAATGCTATACAGCGCCTTGAACAGCAGCTCGGCCCTTGCAATTGGCTTGAGGTTGGCATAAATAGTCCAATTATACCGATGACCAAGAGAGCTATGCGAGATGTCAAAGCACACACATTCCATCCAGTCAGTATCCGGCCAAGTGAAGGGCCGGAGACCGGCATTGCCACGGTTATTTCTGACCTATGGCATTCAGGGCTTTCTGTGTCCCATTGGTCCTTCATCCGAGATTTTCCTACAGGGCTTAAAGAAACATGGTTGCCTCCTTATCATTTCGAGAGGAACCAGTACTGGACTGAGAACATCGACCGAGCTATGGAGTTGCAGGAAAAGCTCTTGGCAGCTTCGACTGTCTTAGATTCCGCAGCTTCTGTGGCTGCACCTCCCATGAGACTGATCACTCGAAAAGAAGCAGGCCCCTGCGACTCCCATATGAGCTTTCACATTAATACGATGTGTGAAAGATTTCAGGAGGTGGTCAAGGGACATGCTTTTTTGGAGCAACCACTTTGTCCTGCACCCTTATACTTAGAGGGTGTTACCAATGCCATTCAGCTTCTACTCGGGGATATGGCTACACAGCACCTAACTTTTGATGATTTGCAGTTCCAGGTGCCTCTGGGGTTAGACCGATCGCGTGAAGTGGAGCTGCAGCTCCAAGAGCTTGTTCCCACGCAATCCTGGAAGTTCACTGTGTATTCCACAACTCCAGAGTCTAGACAACCCTCGGTCCATTGCGTAGGCATGGCTACCGTAACAGCACAAGCCAACCTGTCTACATATGGGCGACTGGTGGATGGCGCGTTCACTCGAGTCCAAGACTGCCAGACGGCCGAGCGCTTCATGGCAAGGAGGGCGTATGGGTTGTTCTCAAAAGTGATGCACTACGCTCCCTTCCTCCAAGGTATCCAGTCCGTGGTAGTGGATGGAAACGAAGCGGTAGCAACCGTCAAACTTCCCGAAGGCCAGCCTGGTCGGATAGAGAGCCCTACTTGGATGAGATGTGATGCGGTGCTCCTTGACTCCCTTATTTCGGTGACAGGGTTGCTGCTAAATACCAGCGAAAACGCTGCTGATGACCAAGTCCTGATTGCGGTGGGTATTGAACGTGTGATTCTGACAACTGCCTGTCTAGCAAATTTCGAGGGGGAGTGGTTCGTCTACACAAGTATTAAGTCGGCTGGTAATAATCAGTTCATTGGGGATGTCTTCGTACGCTCCCCCGAAAGACAGATGGTAGCGATGATGTCAGGCGTTCGTTTCAATCAGTTGGACAGGGTGAAGTTGGGCAAATCCCTTGGAGCAGCTAACAACGCCAGGATTTCTCGGCCACAGCAGCCAGTATCGCGCCCTGATCACATACTGGCTCAGAAGAACGTCCCTGATGCTGCTGCTATGTCTACCGGGGAATTACCAACCATGAGTGACACGGAATCAAGTCCTATGACGGCTACAACAGCCATGACAACTCCACTAGAAGAAAAGTACAGGAACCCCGAGGTTGTGATAAATGGGCTCATCTCGAATTACACTGGTTTGGACCCAGCCGATATCCCTGCAGATGCTGTTCTTATAGACCTTGGTATCGATTCTCTATCATTGACGGAATTTTCGGATGAGCTCAACGCAGCATTTGACTCGAGCATCAGTACCGTAGGCCTGGGACAAACGTCTGTGGAGAACCTCACAGAAATGGTGAAGCAAAAGTCGCCTGGGGGCCCTCGACACACGATTGGTAGTGATGAAGTCATACATCACAATGAGCCGGTATCGCCTACTGACTCTGGTATTCCACCGAGTATCTTACAAACCAAGCTCAACGGAGTGATTGGACATGAAGGTGACAAGACCGCGGCCACATGGGACCCAGTAGAGGCACTGCTCGAAGTCGACAGCCGATTCCAAGATGCGGCAAATAGGAATGGGTATATCGCCTACGAGTCTAATGTCTTACCGTTGCAAAATCTTTTGGCGCAGGCCTATATCCTGGAAGCCTTCGAGGCTATGGGGGTTCCCGTTCTGTCTTTGCCCTCAGGGACGGTTGTTTCCCCAATTAAGCATATACCCAAGCACAGCAAGCTCGTTCCTCGACTATGGAACATTCTTCAGACCCATGGAGTTGTTTTTATACAGGCGAGTATAATCGTGCGAGGTCGTGAAACCCCAAAATTTGGTTCTGCTGCGGAGGTGTATGAGAACTTTGTTTCCCGCTTTCCAGCCTGTTTGCCGGAAGCACAGTTGATGAAACTGACCGGAGAAAACCTGGCACCCATTCTCAAGGGCGAACAAGATCCTCAATCGCTGATGTTTGGAAGTTCAGCCTCATTCAAAATTATGGAAGACTATTATGCCAACTCACCAATGGTATCCACATCTACGGATCAGCTCGTAACTCTAGTCACGATTTTGCTTCGCGGACACGAGATGCATCATAAGAGCGATAAGCGGGTCCCTCGCATTCTGGAAGTTGGTGCAGGCACCGGGGGCACGACTCTGCGGCTGGCGCAGGCTATCGAGGCGGCGAGAATCCCGTGCCAATACACCTTTACCGATGTATTTGCACCGATTGTCTCCAAAGCGAAGGACAGATTCGTTGATTTCTCCTGGATCGACTACGACACAATTGATCTAGAAGAGAAAACGAGAGCCGAGCATCGCAATCGCTACGACATAGTCATCGGAACGAACTGTGTGCACGCTACCTCCAGCAGGGTTGGAACTTGCCGCAGGCTCAGGGACTGCCTGATTGATGACGGGGTTGTGATTCTTTCTGAGAGAACTCAACCGCTGGCGTGGTTTGACATGACTTTTGGCTTGCTTGATGAATGGTGGGTGGCCGAGAACGGAACCAAGTATCCTCTTCAGCCAGCGTCCGAGTGGATGGAGGTGCTTCAGGAAGCTGGGTTCTCTCGCACGAGCTTCACCCGAGGAGCGGGGAGCGAGACATCTCTGCAGCAATTACTTGTTGGAAGCAAAGTGCGAGGATAGGATCATTGAGTCCGGGCCCACTTCCAGAGCGCTATACTTTATCGGACAGCGGGTCCTATCGCCTTGATCTCGTGCTCTCAGTATCGGACAATGGCACTGCCCTCCTATTGTTACTAAACGCTCAGACAGGCAGCGCCGATTACCTCACGATGCCGTCCGCTTCTCGCCTTGCAGCGATCAGCCCACTGGCACAAGTCCGGGAGGGCAAAACTACCGGACACCGACGTTCGTCATCCACAGCCGACAGGATCAGGTCGTTCCGTTTGAATCAGCGGAGCGATTCATCACTAAACTGAAGGCGCAGGGAGTAGTAGGTGATCTTTTTGGACTGATGTTGGTGTCCCGTTTGCATGATCAAGAATGCAAAGAAGTCAGCAGAGTTTAAAAGGACAACATGATTGCATGAGATTTGTCTCTAGATACTACCCGAAGAGGCAAGATAAGGAATCGAATGAGAAGAATTTGTAGTAGTACTGATGGCAACGGCAGCCCGATGTTGTGGCTGAGGAGGCGATAACTATGAACATTAGGGAAACCGCTACTTCATGGTGTAGTTGTGCTAATCAACATATGGTAGTTGGAAGATAAACAGTAAAGTTCATTGATTAGATAAAGTTTTATTGTTACCACTACAATTATCTACAAGAACATCTTCAAAAGCCCACACACACACACACACACACACACACACACACACACACACACACACATACACACAGAAACATCCAAATCGTGTATAACAAAAACAATTCTAAGAAATGTAACTCAGATACAAGTGGACAATGAATGTCTGTAGATCAATCCCTAACCCACACAATTTCCCCACCAACCTGATACAAACCTTTTTCTTTAATTGGAGTGGATAGCCGACCGATAAAACAGACCAAATTGCGTACCCAAGGGACCTTCCTTCAAAAGTGGACTAAAAGTGGACAAACTAAATGATTGACTACTGTGGATCCCCCAAAACCCACCTCATGAAAAAAAAAGAGGGGTTAACTTAACTATGTGGGGAATGATTTACATACTCACTCGGAAATACTAGATAACTGGGTGAGTTGAGTGAGTCAGTAGGTTTACTTTATAGAGTAACTAGCTCAGTCATAGACACATAATCATGACTCTATCATTAGATTATTTCTAGTTACCCATTTAATAATGAATTAAAAGTACGATAGTCAAATTTATAATTAATATTGGTTGTTGATAAACGAATTACTAATCCCCTCCAATCCCACTGACTGACTAACCCATTATCAACAACTGATTAGTTAACAATTTACCAATTCTCCTATGACTCAAAAGTACATACCTTTGCACCGCCACAAACCACATTTTCGGAGAATAATCATAATCATTCATAAAAGCAAGGAAAGAAAAAATAGAATTGGGAAAGAAAAATCAGAAACATGCATGCACATGCTTGGTTTTTGTACGTTATGAAAAATGATGTATGTTATGTATGTATGGTGATGCCATGCATAGCTTCCCGTAGTTCTACCGGAACAGGGGTGCATATGTATGATGTCATACCTACTCGCTTCTCCTTCATTTCATTTCATTCATTCTTTCCGAAACCACCAGCTAGCAAGCACCATGGGTCTTTGATAAAAGTACCTTAACAATGTGCATTGGGAGGTAAGTATGTATGCGTTATAATAAACAAATATTGTTATTGTTGGTATCGGTATCAGTAGTATTATTAGATTGAACTATTGTATGTTTGGGCTTCCATAACGTCTTCCTTTTGGTACTTTTTAGGAAAGTAATTGGGTACCTGCCGATGACACCGTGCAGTGTGCAGCAGATGTTCATAGCTTCTTCCGCTAGAAGCTCTCAAACAAACTATTGAGAGCTTTCAGGCTGACAGGTCCCGATAGCCCCTTCTTTCTGAAACAATATTCTCTACTAGTAGACGGAAATAAAGGAAAAGTAATCATAATAAAGGTGGTATATATGTCTTTCACGATATATGTATACATTTCATACTGTACATGTTTTTTCATCACAATCTGCGCGCCAAACCCACCACCATGCCGACCCAATGCAAACGAAAAATAGCTGCAGCAATAAATATCTCATCACGTAACAATCATACAGGGGACAATATAGTACAAAGCGTAACCCCAGGAATTCGTAACAAGCTGGCTGGAAAGAAAGCAGAAACGCGGGACCTTCGCATATACACACGCGCAAAAAAGGAATTCTTTTTTTGATGCAAACCCCATTTCCGAAAACCACCGCGACCCAATGAGAAAGGATTTCGCAGCAACACCGTTCACATCACAGATGATGAATAAATGACAAAAGAAATCTAAGACCCATGGCATGTAATGCAAAACAAAGAAAAGCATCGCAAAAGAAAGAAGCCCAAAGAAGCAAAAAAAGGCATGCTCGTTCGCTGAAAAAGAGATCGATACGTCATCGGCCCGCTGATTGGTCCACCGGCGGGCCGCCCGTCCCAAAGGGTGCAGCCATGACGTCATGGCTGCTGCATTGGGTGCACGTCCTCAGGCTCCACACTTGCCCGATGAAGCAGGTGCGACCGTCGATCCGGGCCCGTTAGCGAGTCCTTGCCTGATGGGGACTAGCCCATGACGTCGGAGGCTTTGGGGATCCGTCATGGTGAGGGAAACCCGGTGGATCTCATGCTGTCACCGCCGGGGCTGCTGAATGGCAATACTCACCATCCCCATCCTCCACACACCCCTTTGTCGGTCCACTCAATTGATTTTGTGAGAGGAGGGGAGGGGGGAAGGAGAAGAAAAGAAGGGGGGCTGGAAACTGGGGCTGATCCACCCAAGCTTCACTCCCGCCCTCTGCGCCGTTGCTTTCCGGGCCAGTCAACCTCTGGATGCACCACGCGCATGTGCCGGGTGAGCGCATCATTGCGCGAGAAGGTCTTCTCCTCCGTGCACAGATGACACCGCACCTTTTGTTTGCGAGCATTGTGGATGGTGTCCTCGTGCCGTGTAAGATCGTAAGGCCGGGAGAACACAGAGTTGCACGGCTTGCCCGTAGACGGATTGATGCGCTCACACTTGTGTGGTCCGGCCTGCGAATTGCGGGCCGACGTATCGCGAGTAACCAGGTGACCGCCAGGGGTGGTCTGACGGTGCGCCTCGCGCTTGTGCTTCTGCAGCTTGGCCGGGGTCTCAAAGCGTAGTGTGCAGCCGTGGTATGTGCAGGTGTAGGTGCCTCCATCGGCCGAGGTGTTCTCCGGTCGACTGATCTCTTCCTTGACCGGTGGTGCCTGCATTGGCATCTTCTGCGATGCCTGTGGGGAGGTCATCTCAGTCGAAGGCAGCACATCACTACCAGTAGAGTCGAACCGAGGGAGAGACGCGGGGAATTCGGGAGTCTGGTGCAGCAGATTGTTATTCTGTTGCTGTGCCTGGCGGTGGTTCTGCTGTTGGCCGAAGGCGAACTGCTGAGTGGCGCCCTGCGTAGCGTATTGACTGGGGAAGGACTCCATCGATGTAAAGTTCTGAGTCGGCTGGAATGAGCCGGAACTCTCGCGGCGTAGCCCGCCCAGTGCATCGCCCAGATTGAAGTCGGGCTGTGACGAAGGGGGGAAGAGAGGCAAGCCAGTGTCGTCACCCTCATTGAAGTCCAGCAGTGCATCTTTGGGGGACATCGTCTTGGGCTCTCCCTGGGCCGCCTGGCCCATGTTCACCCCAGTTTGGGATGTAGGGGCGCTGGTGGCCATCTGAGGTTGTTGCAAAGCCGCATGGTTGTACTCAGCGGCCAGAGGAGAGTTCTGGCGGAAGGGAGAGCGATCGCGCGGCATGTTCACCATGGGAGACTGGGACCGTGCGGTCAAGTGGCCCTGGTTGGCAGCCTGAAGGCGATCGGCGATCACATTCCGGAACGATGGTGCCAGGAGATTCTGCTGGTTTGTCGCGGGCTTAGCCATCTGTGGTGTAGACATCATGGCGGGGTTGTAAAGCTCGTCCTGGTAAATGTCGGAAATCGTGCGGTTGAGCTTGGGAATGCCAATGGTCATGTTGTTGTTCGCGTTGTGGTTGTTGTAGTCTGAAAGCGCATCGAGGCGTAAGTAATCATCCATCCACTTGTCTACGTCGGGAAACCGGTTCTCACCATTTACAATCGCCTTCGATGCGTCATCGAGGTCTTCGAAGCCCGTATGAGGAGTCACTGGCGAGTTGTGACTCACGCTCGATACAGAAGGCGCTAGCGAGTAGTCGCTGGTCTGATGCTGGTGACGAGACTGCTTCTGCTGTTGCTGTTGCTGTTGTTGTTGCTGCTGCTGCTCCAGAATCGCCCGTCTCATGGCAAGATCGGCGTCGGTCTGGCTACCATCTTGGAAGGACTGCACGGGGGTCTGCACAGGGGTAGGCAGAGGCTTGGCCACACCGTTTGTCCTCGAGAAAGAACTGCCAGCGGGTGCAGAGCGGCTCGATGAAGGACTAGCAGAGGCTTTCAGTAGATTGTTCTGAAGGCGAGCTGGGCCCAACAGCTGCAAGTTGCCTTCCCAACCGTGGTTGTTAGCGACAGACTGTTGTGCCAACATCGGGTTGCCGTTGAAGTAGTAAGGTTGAGTATATTGCGGAAGGTAGGCTTGTGAGGGTGGTGATGCCGAGTGATGGATGTTGATGGAAGGATTGTAGGAGGAGGAGGGTGTCATCGAAGGAGCCTCGAAGGAATTGCCGTCGAAGACGGCAGAGGAGTAATCCGCGGCAACCGCTGTTGTCGCAGGATAGTGGGAGATGGTGGAGGCGGGTGAGGAAGTAGGGGAGGAAGGAGCGGAAGACGGCGGAGAGACGAACTGCAAATCCGGTTGGTACTGGAAAGGAGTCTGCAATCGAGGTTGTTGTTGGCCGAGAAAGTGGAGAGCGGCTTCTTGAGAGTAGTCGAGAATCTGGTCGTCTTGTATGCAAACGGGATCTTGGTAGTTGAGATAGGGGATGGAAGTTGGTTCAGTGATCAAACCCTTACGTGCAGCAGGGTGCATGAACATAATGTGCTTGTTCGCGATT